AGAATAAGAGGGATCAGAGTATCCCCTAGTTGGGAGCTCCCGACCAAGAACCTCTTACTTGTTTAATTTATGGTTATTACTGCTAAAGCAAACGAGCGTGTAGTGCGAGATGCATTTGGGTTTGGAATAAGAGGGTTCAGGGTATCCCAGAGTCGGGAGCTCCCGACTAGATATCTTACTTGTTTTAAAATTTTTGTATACTAATACTAAAGCAAGCGAGCGCGACCTGCATTGGGTGTTGAAAAGAGGGTTCAGGGTATCTCCTATTCGGGAGCTCCCGACTAGAGCCTCTTACTTGTTTTAAATAATTTAGGGATTGCGGACAGTTTTGCCATGTCTCTGTAATTTTGTATATCAGACTTTCCACCTTACTTATGGAAAGGAATGATATAAGATTTTTTCAAGCAATGTGCGAAGAAAGGAAGAACTACACTCCTTGAGTAGACAACTAGGAATACTCTCAGGCCCAGGAGAGTAAGAAGATTTTAAAGAATTTATAGCAGAAAGGAGAGAGGGATGGGAAATAATATGAGCTGGTATACAACCGGAAGAAGTAATATTGTAAGGGTAAGAATTATTATTAGGATAGACTGAAGAGTAGGTTGACTGGAAAAAGTTAGCAAAATTAGCAGAATCAGAGTCATTGCTAGCTTTATCCATCCCGAGAGAAATAGAAGATGGCAAGCTTCAAGATTTGCGCTTCAAGTTTAAAAAATTATAAAACTGTCTCGGATTTTGGGCAAATTGCCTTTTGCAACGAGAAAGATAGTTCTCATAGCACTGAGAATTAAGAAAAAAGAAGTTCGATTTAGCTATGGAATATTTAGCCAAGTCAGTACTCGAACTTAAAATATTTAGATTTTATATTATTTAGGTTTGATAATCTGGAAGTGAACCAGGGTGGCTTTGAAGAAGCAATTGAGGGAGTTGCATTAGGAACACAAACATCTAAGATGGAGTTCAGGGTGTTATAAAAAAAAATTAATAGCAGTATTCATATCAACCGAGTAATATGAAAAAGACCAACATATACTTATATCAATATGTTCTCCACAGTATACAACAGTGGCTTTGTATATGTTGTGAATAATTTATGGGCAAATTTTTTGCTTAAAACACAAACAATACAAGCACTCACCCCTGGTGTAATCCTCTGGCAACAACACAGGAGTTATTGGCATAGTTGCGCCATCGAGCTTTTTCAATAGCTGTCACAAATAGAAATAATTAAAATTATTTTAGTTCTTGTTGTAAGTTACGAAAATTGGAATTGGAATACGGAATTGGTCTGTGCTTATTATTAATTTTAAGAGTATACAAAGGCAAGCGAACCCGAATTGGTACTTGCCAATTGCAGCGAAGCGACAAATGATTAGTTTTAATTTTGAGTAATGCAAGTGGCCGATGTGTACCAAATGCACGAAGCGAACGAACTTAACTATCTCGATGCTCAGCATCGAGACCTTTGCATAAGTTAATGCTAGGGCAATAGAATGATCGACAGAGCGAAGAACGCCAGCTTAATGTAAATATTCTTAAAAGCGAAATTTAAGCAGTTGCTTCGCAGAGCAAGTATTATCAGATAAGAATAATAATATCAGTGGCTCCAACTGTTTTGGCTGCGTCTTCAAGGGAAGACGAGTGCTAGGACAGAAAAGAGCTCTTTCAGGCTTATGTTTTTAAATGCAGTTACTTACTTGAAGGGAAATTTAATTTACATAAATACACATATGTTTCGTTGTTTATAATATTTGTGTGTATTCTATGGTGTTCGTACATTTTGTTATACCCTGAACCAATTCAAAATGGGTAAAAGGGGTATAATGTATTTGTGCAAATGTATGTAACAGGCAGAAGGAAGCATCTCCGACCCGGTAATGCTTCGGTGTACCCAACACACATATGGAATGCCCAAATAATTCGGGGATGGTATCTATTCCACGTAGTTTTTTCTCAAGATTCCATTTACGGCGGCGGAACTTGAATTTATAGCGTATTTTATTAAATATAAGCAATTAAAAGTGGCGATAGCGCGGTGGTAGCACGATTGTAAAGTATCGTGCAGCAACGATACTACTTCACGATGAATTTCCGATAATTTTTTAACTATCGTCAGCGCTTTGAGATGAGCGAATAAGAGCTGCTAACTATCGATGATGAATCATTAAAAATATCGAATTTTCGATTTGGCGGAGGCTGCTTTGCATTTAAAGTGTATGAAACTAAAATACCAAAAATACTATTGACATTTGCAATATTTTGTTTTCAATAATTAAATATACATTTAATTGTAAATTTAACTTGAATATTTTGTAATTAATGTAAGCTATTAAATGTGGTTATATAATAAATTTAAAAAATAATAATATATATAAAAATTTATTTATTAAATTAATTATATTTATGTTTAATATTATTAATAGAATTTTAAGATTAATTTTTAAAATATGTATAAATGACTAGCGTTTACAATTGATCGTTTGAAGTGAACCGGACGACGGTAAGCAACAAAATATCACTCATCCGAAATATCCCAATGCTTAGTCGATTGCAACAGATCAACATATAATTTTTAGTAGGTTTCTGCATCTGCACGTCTAAGTCAACTAGCTTTCGCGTTATTAAGGCTCACATTGCACTCATACGGACGTTCCTTGGTATGTATACTGTGGATAACAATAATAAGTTTGTATTAGAATATATGCGGCTTTTTTAACATGGAGTGAAAAATTCAGTTACCAATAATGTCAAAGAATGATGCAATGAGTCAAAAACGCAAAGTCCTGCTGTCTCTAAACTAAGGGATCATATATTAAAACCAAATTAAAAGATGCATTAATAAAAAGATTTACACCAGTCAACATTATCAAGATATTTATAATTACTAAAATATTTGTTTAAAAATTCAAACAAACAAAAGAATATTATTTATAGATTTTGAAGCAGTTTAAACAACGTAGGCATTAAGGGGCATAATGACCTAAGCTTGAGGCCAATGTGGAATTTCTGTTGCTGGGTCAGACGCATCTGTTAAATTTTACCACAATTATCTCAAACATTATCGCTGTTACACTTTGCGTGTTAACCTGCATGACATCTGCAAAAATTCAAATTGCAATTGAGAAAACTACCTATTTTCGTAGATTAGCTGATTGATACTTACGGGTATCCCAGCGCAGAAGTGCATCATCTGATCGTGGCGGATGCTAACATTTTAACCAAGATTTTTGGCCATATATGTATATTCTCCCTCGTTGGGATTGCTTGGGGATATCCAACAGACACTTTATCTAATTGTTGTAAAAAAATAATATAAGAAACAAGCTAAATTTGGATTCTTGCAAAATTATAATAATAATTACGTGCGCGTGCCTAAACAATGCGCACGCATATATGTATACGTGCACATATGATCACACTTTACACTGATTATCACACATACAGAGTTTGTACGCATACACTTGTACTTTATTTTGCAAATAAGGTTTGAATGTATGAATACATATAAACGCGCATTTCATCATTTGCAGATGCATGTTCATATTTTTGTTTATTTAAACAAAATCGGATGAAATTGCCTCAATTTGCATCAATTAATTTAACTGATAATCGGAAAAAAACCAGATGTTACGACTATTTTAATATTATATTTAAATCAATATTTATTTTTTCATAATTTTTCTTTGAAAACTTAAAAAATGTAGTTGAACCATTAAGAACCTTGCTTCGTATTTTTTCGTGTTAATACTGAAATTAAACAAAATTTAATTGAGCTTTCTTATTGGGAACTAACCGAAATGATGGCCTAATTTTTCTTCTCTGCTATTTGCATTTCACAGAGGTCTTCCAGCTCGTCTTCATACTGTGATAAATGAATTTTAATGATATTAAGAAGAATATTCTTAAAAATAAAATACTTACATCTTCATATGTGCAGTCTAGATCAATGTTATGCTCTGCCACAATGGGGATTGTAGATTCTTGCAATGGCTGTAAAAGCATGGTGGAATCTATCCATGTGGTTTGGATAGTGCGCTTTGAAAACGTAGGTTGCTAAATATCCTGTCAAATGTTTTTTTGAACGCCCATATTTCGGAATTTTATCCTTCATGTCCCTCCATTTTCTTTCAATATTTTGCGTATGCGCTTTTGTAGTTGGGTCAACAAAGTTCATTGAATGATTCACTGTCAGGTGCTCAAAACCTTCATCGCTTAGACTGCGGTATGAAGACCAACAATCCGAAATGATGGTTGTGCCATCCGCGATGTTTTCTTTTTTAACGCGAAGCAGCGTGGTTTTGGTGCGGTTTTCGACAGGAACGATGTACAGCCTTTTGGTATCCCTTTCATAAATACCAAATACCCATTGGCCTTGGATAATCCGCCCACAGTTATTTTTTCTTTTTGAAATAAGGCTTTCGTCGATTTCTACGACCTTGCCCTCTCCTCCAAGCTTTTCAAGGCTTAACTCTGCACTCTGCACCCAATCCTGAAATACTTCGCGCAAATAATTACGCCAATTGACTATTGTTTCATATGACATTGAGAATTCATTTTTTAAAAATGCAGTTATGGGTTCAACTCCCGTGAGCTCGTAATATACAATAAGGCAAATTTTCCTGATAGTTAGACGCGATCCCGCGAAGAACGTGTTCGCCCGCACACTTTCTAAAAAATTACATTTTTTTGTAATTTTTTTTTTATTTTTTTCAAAAGTGTGCGTCAACCTGCACCGAAAAAAAAAGTCGCCCTTTAATGTGACACACTTGCAGGGCTCGCCACACTCAGGACAGTTCTTGGATTTTAAAATAAGTCCGTGGTCTCTCAACCAGGACATTAATTTTTCCTGATCATTTATTATTTCTAAAAATGCATGTGCAGTAATTTTACATTCGTCGCATTTGTCCATTTTTTATTACCAAAATGTATTTTCCAGCTATGTAAGTAGTGACATGCACTCGCGAATAGATTTCGATTAAAGAAACTACAATTGTGGTGCACATGCACACAAGCATACATACGTTTCTAAGAACTCGTAGGAGATACAAAGCACAATCATATTGTGTTAGTGTAAATACTCTAACACATACATAGGTAAGTTAGTCCGTAAGCATGATCACTTCCAATTGGTGTATCCCATGTATGCATACATTCAAACCTTATTTGCAAAATAAAGTACAAGTGTATGCGTACAAACTCTGTATGTGTGATAATCAGTGTAAAGTGTGATCATATGTGCACGTATACATATATGCGTGCGCATTGTTTAGGCACGCGCACGTAATTATTATTATAATTTTGCAAGAATCCAAATTTAGCTTGTTTCTTATATTATTTTTTTACAACAATTAGATAAAGTGTCTGTTGGATATCCCCAAGCAATCCCAACGAGGGAGAATATACATATATGGCCAAAAATCTTGGTTAAAATGTTAGCATCCGCCACGATCAGATGATGCACTTCTGCGCTGGGATACCCGTAAGTATCAATCAGCTAATCTACGAAAATAGGTAGTAGTTTTCTCAATTGCAATTTGAATTTTTGCAGATGTCATGCAGGTTAACACGCAAAGTGTAACAGCGATAATGTTTGAGATAATTGTGGTAAAATTTAACAGATGCGTCTGACCCAGCAACAGAAATTCCACATTGGCCTCAAGCTTAGGTCATTATGCCCCTTAATGCCTACGTTGTTTAAACTGCTTCAAAATCTATAAATAATATTCTTTTGTTTGAATTTTTAAACAAATATTTTAGTAAATATAAATATCTTGATAATGTTGACTGGTGTAAATCTTTTTATTAATGCATCTTTTAATTTGGTTTTAATATATGATCCCTTAGTTTAGAGACAGCAGGACTTTGCGTTTTTGACTCATTGCATCATTCTTTGACATTATTGGTAACTGAATTTTTCACTCCATGTTAAAAAAGCCGCATATATTCTAATACAAACTTATTATTGTTATCCACAGTATACATACCAAGGAACGTCCGTATGAGTGCAATGTGAGCCTTAATAACGCGAAAGCTTAGTTGACTTAGACGTGCAGATGCAGAAACCTACTAAAAATTATATGTTGATCTGTTGCAATCGACTAAGCATTGGGATATTTCGGATGAGTGATATTTTGTTGCTTACCGTCGTCCGGTTCACTTCAAACGATCAATTGTAAACGCTAGTCATTTATACATATTTTAAAAATTAATCTTAAAATTCTATTAATAATATTAAACATAAATATAATTAATAAATAAATTTTTATATATATTATTATTTTTTAAATTTATTATATAACCACATTTAATAGCTTACATTAATTACAAAATATTCAAGTTAAATTTACAATTAAATGTATATTTAATTATTGAAAACAAAATATTGCAAATGTCAATAGTATTTTTGGTATTTTAGTTTCATACACTTTAAATGCAAAACAGCCTCCGCCAAATCGAAAATTCGATATTTTTAATGATTCATCATCGATAGTTAGCAGCTCTTATTCGCTCATCTCAAAGCGCTGACGATAGTTAAAAAATTATCGGAAATTTCATCGTGAAGTAGTATCGTTGCTGCACGATACTTTACAATCGTGCTACCACCGCGCTATCGCCACTTTTAATTGCTTATATTTAATAAAATACGCTATAAATTCAAGTTCCGCCGCCGTAAATGGAATCTTGAGAAAAAACTACGTGGAATAGATACCATCCCCGAATTATTTGGGCATTCCATATGTGTGTTGGGTACACCGAAGCATTACCGTATATATATTCTTGATCCGCATCAACATCCGAGTATATCTAGCCATGTCCGTCTGCCTGTCCGTCCGTCCGTCCGTCCGTCTGTCCGTCCGTCTGTTAAAGCCACAATATAATGCTTTTGACTTTTAGAGAATATACGAATATTCTATAATATAATAAGATCTACTGTTGAAAATTTCATCAAGATCGGTTTAGAAACACAAAAGTTACTAAAGAAAACGTGTTTTGGCTGGCCTCGTGTTTGCGGCAGTTGAAGCAAATTGGAAGAATTTCTGTATACATGTACACACACATGTGTTGTTGTGCTTTTATTATATTTCAGATTGATATTATCTACAAACAACTGCTGAGATTCCTGTAACTGATGTATTTATTTCTCTTAAAGCTTATCTGTGCAGTTTGGCTAATGTGTGCTATTTTTATAGTGTTTTTAGCACTCGCGTGTCTGCTTTGTCGCTGCTTGGAAAATGCTTGAGCTTTATTTGCTGGCCATAATTTCTCATGATTTCCAAAATAAATGCAAGCCACAAATAGAGTTTAACACTGGTTGGCCGGAGGTGGGCGGTGTGGTATGTGCGCGAATCAGGCCAAAGTTAATGGCAGTTACAAGTACAGCTGTTTTCTTTAGTATGATTTGGCCTAAACATGCAAGGGCACTTATTTTGCTGCCGGCCACATTGTTGTTGTTATGACTGATGCGGTATGCAGCACAACTCGCATAAAATATTTCGGGCTTATTACTAAAAACTTTGAAACAAATTATAGTGCAATGCATTTTTTGAAATTGGAGACAATTTCGTGGCTCGTTCCGAAGGGTCCGGAACTCATTAAATAAAACGGTTTATATTGAAGAGAAAGTTTGCAGACAGTTTCTATTTGGGCTTAAGTAGACAAGGACAAACCAGAACCGAATTTTGGGCAGGTCCTACAGCACTTCAAGTATATTTCATGCTCAACTGCTGCCCGACTCTGGACTGTAAACAAAGCAATGTGGCAAATGGCTTTGAAGAAAGCGCATTAAACAGTCGTTAATTTTACACACACTTTCTCTCGCCCTTTGGCTACATTTCTCTCTGTTAGCCTACAAGCGACCAGAGAAATAATTGCCAGCCAACTGCTTGCTGGAAGCATATACTGAGCTGAAACCCTGATCCAGGGCCAGAGCCAGAACGACAACAAAAACCGAAACCATGGACCTAGTCGTAATTTTTGTTGTCCTATTTGTTGTTGTTTTTTTGTCCTGAATGCAAGTATACCTAATACATGTAAAGTCGAGCTCAAAAATTTAATTGAAAATAGGGAGTAGAAAATTGAGGTAAAGCATGAGATAAATGAAAAAAAATCTAATATAAGGAGATTGGAATAAATCAAATCTAATCTCATTAATTTGATTTAATTTTAATAATTATATTCATTATATAATATAACTAGCGGGTATAACCCGGCCTTGCCCGTGGCAAGTTTAAAATAAATTTTCTTAAAAAGCTTTGAAAATGATTTTCACACTGATTGGTCGGTAAACAAACAACTTTCATACAAACCGCTAAAACACGTATTCATTTAGTTTTTTAATAAGTTTGAAGCAAATCGGACATAACTTAAAACTTCGCCCAACAAATCTTTGAATCGTATTTCTACCGAATAAGTTTGGATTCTGCGAAAAGTGTGATACACGTCCCAAATGAATTTTCATATATATCTTTGAAACTGAATTTGAACACGAAACGTCACCCATCAAATCTTTGACCCCCATTTCCACCAAAATGGGATGCATTTTCCAAAAAGTGCGAAACACTCCTCAAATGAATTTGAACAAAAATCTTTGAAAATGAGTTTGAGGTTTGATGAACAAAAAAGTTTCATACAAACGTTTTTCGCGACTTTTCCACACTTGCGGGCGGAATTTCCCAAAATGCACCTACATCAGAAGAGGTATCAACAGTGAAAATTTCAGCTTCCTAGCTCTTACCGTATGGGTTGTGGGTTGATCACCAATCAGTCAGTTTGTCAGGACAAACAGTTTTAAATTGTAATTAAACCAGATTTACATGTTAAATTAAGAAACTGATTTGTTGGACTGGTTGCACTTATGCGAATTTAAATTTAAAATCAAAAACATTTTTGTACTTTGAACTTCTTTAGCAATCAGCTCGCAATAAACTTTTACCAAACTAACCAAATATTTTTTCTTTCTATTAACAATCCGGTATTTTGGATTTGGGTTATTTTAAAAAATTTGGATTCAAAAATTGATTGGGAATGCTATTTTATCTATTAATTTATTTGCGCATTTAATGACAAAAAATATTTACTAAGTATGATGATGTCTATAGGCCCTTTGGCTTGAAATGTATATGGTATGTTCGATTTTGGCTTGGCGACTATATGCAGCTGTATGAAAGCTTCGTTGGAAATATGAACACATCTACAAAATAGAGTAAAACACTGCAAAAAGATTGCATCATATGCATGCACCAACTTTGGCCAGGACACTTATTAAAATTCGCGAAAATCTTTGTAATTGTAAACCAGGTAATTTTACAATGGAATTTGCAGTAAAAATTATGTTTTCTGGTTACCTCTTGTAGCCTTCGCCGGGAATATACTATAGCGCCACTCTGTAAATCCTTGTCCCAAGAATGTGGGCTACTCATTTGATGTTTTTTAAACCCTGAACCCATTTAAAATGGGTAAAAGGGGTATAATGTATTTATGCAAATGTATGTAACAGGCAGAACGAAGCATCTCCGACCCCATAAAGTATATATATTCTTGATCAGCATCAACAGCCGAGTCGATTTAGTCATGTCCGCCTGCCTGTCCGTCCTTCCGTCCGTAAAAGATATGAGAAGAAAAAGACTTAAAGCTTTGAAATTTTGTAGGTCCTCCTAGTTCCCGTGCAGAACGAGTTTGTTTTCGATAATCGATAACTTGTCCCGTTTACATTTAATCGACAAAAATCGATATCGTTATCCTGTTTTTTGAGCATATTATATTTATTTATTTACTTATTTATTAGTGGTCGACAAAACGAGTGTCTTCCTAATTATTCATTACATTTTATATACAATTATGAAAATTAAATGCTAAAAGCCTAGTTAGGGAACACAAATTTCTATTAGCATCACCGACCGATGGAGGTGTTTTATTTGCCACCGGAATCAGAGTCATTGCTAGCTTTATCCATCCCGAGAGAAAAAGAAGATGGCAAACTTGAAGATTTACGCTTCAAGTTTACAAAATTGTAAAACTGTCTCGGATTTTGGGCAAATTGCCTTTTGCCTTTTAAAAAAAGATAATAGCAGTATTCATGTCAACCGAGTCATATAAGAAAGACCAATCGGTTGCACAAACACATTTTGGAGAAATCAATTTGCTTGTCGATGCATTCTGGGCACGACCAACGCAAGCCGCCGCAGCCCTTCTTGGCAATTGCAGCGATCTTGTCGCAATCACGCCCAGTGAGACCTGCACATTTAGTATGCATCATATTCTAACATAGCCTGCAATTAACAAATTGCGGCTGTGAAGAATCATCAGCCTGCTTGAACGTGCAAGGTTTCTTACAGCTCGACATAATTTCTACCAGCGTTAAAAGATATGCAGAAGTTGCGAAAGCGCAGAGTAAAACGAAACACGGTGCACAAAAATAGAGCAAGTAAACGCTCAAAAATATATAAAAATCTTGGAGCACTAGCATTATTACTCAATGGAGCACAAGTAAAACACGTCAATCACTCTCAACTGAGAACTCTCTCATATTTGGTAAATAATTAGAGATATTGTCACAAAACTTGACATTTAGCTATTTATATATGTACTAGCGGCCTTGCCCGTGGCACGTACATATGTTATAAAATCAAAAAAGGTTTGAAAATGATTTTGAAACTGATCGGACGGGAATCAAACAACTTTTATGCAACTCGGAAAAC